GAACCGCCTAGGGAGAGTCTCAACAAGGTACTGTCTAAGCCGTGTTTCTGGGCTTGTCTGTGGGGGAATTCTGAGTTCATTAATTACAGTGGGGAAACAGTGGGGATAGCCCTGGACAGACTCCCTGCACGCTGTATATGTGTAGAGAGATGCCGGGCACTAACAAACACGAATGCATTAATTTCTCTGTGCTCTTGACAGTAGATGTGACTACCTGCTTCAAGTTCCTGCCTTATTCCCTGCCGTGATGGACTTCAGCCTGGAATAGTAACCCTTTCTTATTCAAAGTCACTATTGCCAGGCTATTTTACCACAGCAATGGAAACAAGACTAAAACACCGATTTCACTCTGAGTTAGTTTCCTTTCCTTCTCCACCTTCCCCCAGTCCCTCCCCGGTCATCTCATTCCTCTGCTGTGGGTACCTACACAAAGAGAATGTGGTCCCTAGGATGGCCCATATTGGAGAAGCTCCTAGACAGGCCTCTGACTTCAGGGCACCCAGGGCTTGAAGGGTGACGCTCCTGCCAGGAAAGCTACTCTGCATCACTACATCTCCCTCCAGGCTGCAGTCTCACCAGGTGATTTTCCACACACCTGGGTGGTCTTGAGGGTGGGACTGCTTCCCACTGGGGCTGGTTCTGGGGCCTCTGACTCTTGCTGAGTCCTCTAGTCTTGCCCTCAGATAAGAGAGGAGACCATTCAAACAATGGCCCTTTAAGTCCATTTGGCCATCTCCTACCAGGCAGGCCCTGGAGCAGCTATGACTTTACATTGCATCTTAGCATTCACACGCTGGATTCAGAAGGAATCTTGACTCAGGAACCTTCCCCCTAGCCCTTGAGTGGTCGTGGGCTTGGGGCTAGATTTCCATTTCTAGATGGGAGCTACTATTAATAACACATGCTAATGATTCCAGAGGTAAGCCTCACCTTTATATAAATTCATTGATATGTCCTTGGCAATGACAGCTAATTTTGTATTATATGGGTTTGTCTTATAAGAATCATGACCACATACTGATTTGGTGCCAGGCTATGTCTTAGGTTATGGCGCTCTCTCTCTCTCTCTCTCTCTCTATATATATATATATATATATGTATATATATATATATATATCCAATACTTTCTACTTAGAAATTAAATTTTCCTGTCACTTTGCTTTTAAGATAATTTTCTTACTCCTCGGGGGACAGAGTTGTCTTATTAGAATCTCATCTAAGCTGTTTAGTTCAGTTGTGAAGAGACATGGAACTCTCTCTCTTTCCCTTCCTCTCTCTCCTTCTCTCTTGCTCTCTTCTTTTCTCTCTGTCTCTCATTTGTTCGTACACCTGTTCATTTTTCAGCTGGTAGGGATGTCTGAGGTCATGTGCACACTAACCACCATGCTAGGAGACTCATGACCTAGTTGTAGTGGAATCTACCAGCAGGGCCAGAGCTCTTGTTCTGCGCTTTAGACCCAAATGAGATGCTTGAGGCCATGTAGCTGCTCCTTGAATTTTAACCCAGGATAGTTGAGGTCATAAACACAGCCTCCCATCCACTGTATACTACTACTGTGTCAAGGTCAGGGGTCAGAGCCCAGACCTGTCCAACTACAAGATCCTGGAACCAACCTCACAGACACACAGTATGAGAAAGGGTAATGTATGAACAATATTCAGATGAATCTAGAATACTAGCCATGCAGCACCCATTAGTCCTGGTCTCACCCTATCCTGGAAATCCTCTGAAGAATGGTGACTGCCCAGTCTGACTCCCCAAGGCTTCCCCAGGTCAGAAGGCTTCCCCAGGTCCACTTCCTTGTGTGTAGATGTGATGAGGACACTGCTGGCATTCTTATACCTGTTTTCCTTGCCTCTGTCCTCATCTCCTCACTTTAGGTGCTCCTACAGGGTCTGCCAGAGCTTGGTTGAGATGTTAGGCTCTCTATGAAACTCTAGCCTGTGCAGCTGGAGGGCTCCTGTATCTGTCCTTCACCCAGTACTCAGGGCATGTCTACCTGCAGGAAAGGCTCCACAGGGCCAGGGAATTGTGACAAGTAGAGGGTCCTCTTTTTCATACAAGGTGTGCACTAAGTGGGGTCCTGGCGCATCTATTGGGCGAGCCCCATCATCTGGAGTGCTCGTTCCCATCCTAATTCCCACCCTGAAAGGCCATCCTCCCTCTGGGTTCCTCTGCCCACCTCACTAAGCCCACATCGCCGCCCTTCCAGATGTCAGGCCCTCATGACAGCCTTCAGACTGGAAATGAGGTGTGGAGATCGCCCGCCCTTCAAAGCAAGACTTTCAACTGCATTGTTTATGAGACGCTCTGAGCTGCCTTGGGGCTGTGCACACGCATAAAATACGAAGCAGGAAGCTGCTGCCTGTGTGTTCTTTCTTTCCCTGTCTAATTCCCCTGTCAGGTCTCCTTAAATTGATTGCTCAGAAGAGAAGCTGTCTGGTGGAAACTTCCCTCCTGGGACGATAATCCCAGTGGGTCCCTGGCTTACTGTCATTTCCTTATGGGAAGACTACATGGGGGTGTGTCTCAGCCATTTATTCTCAGCATCCTCGCTCCTCACTTTCCTAGACAGCTCCTCCTGGGACAGGCTCTGCTCTGAGGGCTTAGGTAGACGGTGAAGCTCTCAATAGGCTGAACTCCCCCCAGACAGGTAATCTCCCCAAGGCTGGGCACTGTCAACGAGAGTTGACTGTGGTCCTAGAACCAATCCTCCTAGTGGCTGAGATCACTGCTAGCCTGAGAGGTGTGGCTGCTGAGTTAAGCACCTGACACTGATGAAGGACTAAACGCTCTTCTGTACTTGTAGGGTGCCGGTGACTTCCCTGGAGGGAGCCCCTGGACACCAGTGTGGAGCTGGGAGTTTCACACCCGAGACGTGAAAGCTCTCCCATCAACGCCAAGTGCTGTGGCTTGGGTTGGGGGCGGGACTGAATTTAAGAGCTAAGGCCTAAGGCAAGGCCCCCGCTTTTGAGTGGGAACAATGTCTGAAGCAGGGACCAGTGTAAGCTATGAAAGTCAGCACTCTCCAGAGTCCCCTTCAGCCGAGAAGGTCTGTCAGAGAGACAGGAGTAACAAAACTGTGTCCTGTGTAGATGAACACAGGGTAGATGTGTGAAGATGGAGGTTAACCTCATCCTGGGGAGAAGGAACGAGAAGCTCCCTCCTCATGTGCAGCACTCTGTGTTGGCCTCTGAGTAATTAAAAAAATATTACATTCATTTATGCATGTGTGGGCGCATGTGTGGAGGCCCGAGGGTGCTGGTTCTCGCCTTCTACCACGTGAGTCCCAGGGATCTAGCGCATATCCTTAGACTTAGTGGTGAATGTCCTTAGCCACTGAGCCATCTACGTGGTTTTTAACCTTGTAGGTCCATCTCAGAATGGTGCTGTCCACACCTCAGCCCTGCAGGTTGCTGCAGTATGCACTGGGGCTTATCCTCCTGGCAGTTCACTGCCCTGCCAGGTAGGTACCTGTCTTAGTTATGATTTCCATTTCTGTGGTAAATCACCAGGGCCAACAGCAATTCGGGGAGGACAGTGTTTATTTCAGCTTACAGATCTAAGGTCACACTCCATCACTGAGAGAAGTCAGGGCAGGAGCTGATTTGGCGGCCATGGAGGGATGCTGCTTCTTGGCTTGCTCCTTACAGCTTGTTCAACCTGCTTTCTTATAGCACCCAGGACCAGCAACCCAGGGGAGGCAATGTCCACAGTGGGATGGGCCCTTCCGCATCAATTAATAATCAAGAAAATACACCACCACAGACATCCACAGGTCAGTGTGATGGGGGGCATTTTCTTAACTGAGATTCCCTCTTCCAAAATAACTCTAGCTTGTGTCAAGCGGACACGAATGTAGCCTGCACAGTGACTCCTTTTCACTCCAGCCATTCTGAATGTCCTGCCTTCATAGTGTGGGTATATGTGCATGTGGTGTGCCCAGTATTTCCATGATCATTCCAAGTTCCCCTCTGCCATCTTATCACAGTTCCCTGGCCCTTGGGATGGTGATGCTTTCCATCCAACAATCACAAATAGGAACCGACATGATGGTCCTTGAAAGTAAGCAACACTAGATGAGACGGAAGTTTAATTCCATTTGTTTTGCTAGACGTCTAACAGGCAGGTATCACCATGACTGAATTATGAGCTCCTGGGATTATCTTGACATGAGGCAGTATGTAACTGACTGAGCCCCTGGCCCACAATTTAGTCTTTTCCTCAACATAGAGAAAAAGCAAAGCAAGGCTCGAACACCCTCTCAGGGGGAAAGTGCAACCATGTTGGATGATGCCCTAAACCTACCTCTCAGCACCAGCCTTAGGGAGGCTGTACTGGGCACAGCCACATGGCCAGGAAAATGGCAAGGCCTTCAAGAGCACTCCATCTTACAGACAGGGAAACTGAGGCACAACAAGATGAACAAACATTTCCAGTTGATAGAACAGGACTTGCTGAAGTTCTGCCTTATCTAACCTGGCTCCACAGTCAGTAGGTGCTGTGCAAGGTGGTGCTTGGGGCTGGGTCTGCAGCTGGGAAGCTCCTCTGCTACTGAGTGACAGCGGCCTTCCCTAGAGCTGCCAGAAACCCTGTAGGAATTTACTCTCAAGTTCTTAGAGTGCAGCTGATGAACAGTGACTCATCCATCCCAGCCACCATCCTAGCCATCATCAGTGAGCTCTGCAGTACCCTGTGCCTTTTCTGAGGCACAGATGCACATTGATTATCTTTGATAATCCCCACAAGCAAGTCCTAACCTGGGCATACGGCACCTCAATTATTATTGGGCTTGCGGACATTGGGCAGGTGTATCAGTTAGCATGTATCTGCCCTTGTGGGCAGAATGAAGGCTGTCTACTAAGCTTTAGTAACATCTAAAGCTGAGCCAAGCCCTTTTCACTATTAGGCATTGCTTCTTCCTGGGCCGAAGTTTCCCATCAGTCAAGGATCCCCACCCAATCCCCCAGGCCAGGCACAACGTGAGAGGGTGTCCTACCTGGGCCGCTGCAGAACGAGGCAATGATGGCCAAGATGCACACAATGCTTAGGTAAGGCACCCAGGGGGCTTGGTCCTGCAGGAAAAGGGCAGTGTGAACAGGCAGGGAGCAGCAAGATGTCCAGGGACCTGCATTTTTTTCTGACTCCGTCTGTGTGACAGGCCAGTTCATATCCCTGAGCCTCAATTGCTGCAAACGGCAACCACTTGGCCATTCTGTCCTCTGATTTCCCAGATGTGAGATGCAAGGAGATGGTGCCTGCAGAATTCCACGGGCTCCAGTGGAATTGGAATTGGCACGAAATGATAAGTAAGTGTAGACATGATGGCAACTGAATGCTTTGTTTAAAGCAAAGCATAGGAGAAAATGTTCAGGTGTCATCACACTGGAATTTCTCTCGGTTAACATTCTTACTGTGCAAAACATCATGTTTACGCTCCCGTCATCCCATCAGTGTGGAGAGCTAACTCACTCACGGAATGCTCAGCGGGCCTGTCACTCATCTATAGGCAGGTGTTGAGGGAGCTTTGAGGCCCTGTTGGGCGGGACTTAGATTGGGGGATACTTGAGGCAGAAGAAAGGTAGACCCCAGAGCAGCTTCCACTCCTTCTCTCAGAACCTCAGAGGGCCAAAGACACTGCAGAACCACCCTGCTCAGGACAACTCTAAGTCTGGATATGGGGAAATGCCAGCTCAGCCACACCCCCATCCCCCAAGGAGGAGGAGCCTGCTCAGCGCAACTTCTGAAGGACAGGCTTTTGACATCTCCACACTACTCTGGCCTCGTTCTAGAACTGTTTGGAACCTTAGGACAATTGGCTGAGGACCGAGATGCCCAACTTCCAAAGTCAAAATGTATTCCTGAAAATAATACCAAGACTCATCAGCCCCGTAAGTGCTTGGTGAATGCAGTTTGCTCTGAGCAGGGTAGGCAGCAGAAGGGAAAGGTGTGGAGCTTGTAGTAAAGACCCTGGGATCCAATCCCACCTCTGCTGTCATCCAGCTGTGAAACTTTGCTCACTTTTATTTATGGTTTAGATTTTTCCCTCCATAAAAGGGGGCAATCTCAGACTGGAAAGATGGCTCAGTGGTTAAGGGTACTTGCTGTTCTTGCAGAGGACCTAGGTTCAGTTCCCAGCACCCATCTGGTGGCTCACAACCATCTTTAACTCCAGTTCTAGGGGATCTGAGACCTTCTTCTGGTCTCAGTGGGCACCAGTCACACTTGTGATGCGCAGACATACATGTAGGGAAAATATATGCACCAAATGAAATACTGTTTTCAAGAAGAGACATCTTGAATTTAGTAAGGGCAGTGGATCTAATCGTTCCTCCACATAAACACACATGCACACTCCTGGACTGTTCATGCCACATGCCGTCAGTTACTCCTCTCAGCCTCCCAGGCTGTGGGGACAACTTTCCCTTGTAGAACTAGAGCCCAAGAGGAGCCAGCGGAGTGGTGAGTGGAAAAGCCAGGTCAAGGAACCCAGGTGACAGGAGTTCCCAGCTTCCCTTGCATGGAGGTGATCACTGGAGGGGCATCTAACATAATCCCCCAACTCCAAATGTAGGTAAATCGAGGCTTCCTGTTCGCCACAACACAGCTCATCTGTGGCAGTGGCAGTGCCAGAAGTCAAGTGTCTTGCCTTGAGTTCCAGGGCCCATCACCAGTGACACCCAGTGTTCTGGGAGTGAAGCTCCGTGGGAAAGACGCCTCGCAAGAGGAGCCACAGCCGAAGGCTCCAAAGTGACGAAACCAGAGCCAGATCCCTGCTGACCCCCCCCCCAAAGAGTGATGGGTGGGCGCAATGTCTCACCTGCAGGGTCAGTGTCACAGTGAGAGTTCCAAAGAAGAGGGCCATCAGCCCGAAGCCACCAATGAGGAGAGGCCTCCGCCCTAGGCGCTCCACCACCAGGCCCTAGTCCGAGAGAGTAAAAGAGGTGGAGAACACAGTTATTTCACTTTGAGCTCAATAACGGGGCCTTGGTCCTGCGAACTGATGGTGGAAGGCCAGGGAAGGCTGGTCTCACACAGGGGCTGTGACTCAGGGGGGCCACCCTACGCAGTTCCCCAAAGCTGCAGCCTTGGAGGTGTCCTTGGTCTCCCCCAGTCCACCCTCTGCACTGGCACTTCGGTCTGTCACCAAGGCAGGTAAAGGCAATGACCCTAAAATATAATGACCGTAGGCGAGTGTCAGATTCAGCGGGCCTAGACTGATGTCCTGGCTCTACCGCTCCCTTGGAACTTCTGCTTGTGACTTCAGGTCCTAAAGTCCGTGACAGGAACACTGCCGCCTCACCTGCCCCACCCCAAGGCCTCTAAGAGGCTGAATGGGTTAAATAAGGGGCTGGCTGCTGTTTCTATTCGGTGACTTCCTCTCGCCATCGCCACCGTTTCACAAAGAAAGAGCATCAAGGATCAGAGAGGTGAAATAACCTGGAAGAGGCCACACAGCATAAAGTGAGAAGGCCGGGGATTGAACCCAAGGTGTTGTCAAGACTCATGACTGAGTTCATCAGGGACAGGGTCAGCTTGAGCAAAGGCTTGGAGGAGGGAAGAGGTTCCCCCCTCATGGCCTTTCTATTACCCCACCCCACGACGACACACACACAATCTCCAGGAGAGAAAAACCTGTAGTATTTGTTTTCTAAATCTGGTTTTCTTTTCCTTTTTTTTTTTTGTTTTTGTTTTGTTTTGTTTTGTTTTGGTTTTTGGTTTTGTTTTTTTGAGACAGGATTTCTTTGTGTAGCCCTAGGTGTCCTGGAACTTGCTCTGCAGACCAGGCTGGCCTTGAACTCATAGAAATCTGCCCGCCTTGGCCTCTGCCTCCCAAGTGCTGGGATTAAAGGCTTATGCCACCACTGCCTGGCTCTGTTTTCTGGATCTGGCTTATTTTGTTCTACATAAATATCTAGAGTTCCACTCATTTTCCTGCAAATGTCATGATTCCCGTTTTCTTTGTGGCTGAGCAATATTCCGTTGTGTGTATGCACCCCCGTTTTCTTCATTCATCTGTTAGAAATGGTCCGTTTCCTGCGTACTGTGACTAAAGCAGGTATCTACGGTAGGCTGACTCGGAGCCCTTTGAGGGAAGGAGATTTTAAGTAGGAGTGAGAGAAAAAGGGGGATTAGCAAATTCCTGTGACAAGAAAGCAAAAGGGGGCTGCTCAGAGTGGGTAGGGGATCAACCAAAACAAATGACATGTGAAAATGCAGGAGTAAAACCCACACTAAGTTAAATACCAATCAATCAATCAATCAAAACTATCTGCTTCAGGTGAGCAGATGCCGTAACGCAGCTGAGGGCCATAAAGGGAGCATGTGGCCACCTGCCTGGCAGCTTCAGGTGACAAGAAGAGGAAGGGACAAGGCCCAGAAGCCTTGGGATCTCTGCCTTGGAGTTTTACTACAGGGAGTCTGCCTGGATCACAAGGAGCCAGAAACTGTCTGGGAGGTGAGCTTCCCCCAGATGAACGGGGTCTGCAATTGAGGCATAGCAGGGACTGGGGCATGGATGCATTTGTTTTGTCATCTGGAGAATACAGCACTGCAGGCCAGATGACAGCTCAGATCACCAGCTAAGGGTTACAGCCTGGGGACAGGTCACCCAGGCATGACAATGGCTGGGCAGGAGGGGCCTTCAGTGCACAGTCGGGGACTGGAGGCAGGTGGGGATAACCTGACTGGTTTCAAAGGCTCCCCCCCCCCCCCCCGCAGACCCAGGCTTCCCACACTTCTCATGGGAACCTGGCACAAGAGAATAGAGCAACAATGATGCCCATGGGTGGTGTATGAACCTGAAGATGGGCTGACCGGGGCTCAAGCCCTGGCGCGGCCTTTCATCCTTCCTTGCATGAAGGATGGATGACTAAGTGACTGAACTTCTCTGAGCCTGAATTTCCCCCACCTGGGAAGTGTGGATGATAGTGTCTCTGCAGGGTAGTTGTGACATGAGAGGAAAGGCATGCTGTGCAGGAACTCAACCCAAGAGCATCAGGGCCTTCCCAGCACAGCAGAAACTGCAGCATGATGACTGTTCCTCTAAGAATGGCCTGGGTGGCTACTCTCACTCCCGTAGCCTTGAACATGAAGGCCAGCCCTTCCATGACTTGCTTGTTTCTGTGTGGCCATAGGATAAGTCTAGGTGACAGGAGCAGGGGATCACTTCTGAGCACCCACTGTTCCAGGCACTGCACTGAGCACATTTCAACCATGAAACATTTAATTCCCACAAACACCCCCATGAACTGGGCCTTGTTTATCTCATACAGGTGAGGAAAAAAAGAAAACAAGTCAAGAGACTTTAGGAAGTTGTCCAAGGCACACGGGCTGATAAGACGAGAAGCAGGGATGCCTGTGCAATCTTTTGTGGTTCTGAAGATATTAAGCTTCCTAACAGGTAGAGCCCCAGTTTGTAGCAGCCCACTGCCCCATCTTCATGTCCAGTCATTGAACACATAGAGCATGCCTCCCCAAAAGCCCTCAGATCATCACTGTTTCCCCAGAATCCAGAAGCACCCCTGTGATGGGGAATGTTCTTTTGTATGTATGTGAGGTAGCATGGCAGATACTTCCACTAGCTAACCATAGAGGTCTGGAGGTTTGTACAGACAGGCAGAAAGAGATATAGCTGGGCAGAATTAGAATATAAGCAGGGACAAACAGGAAGTCACTCTCTTCTCTGGAGAGATGTAGCAAGCAAAGGAGATACAGGGCCACCATTCCCGGTAAGCAAAGACCATGTGAAAACATTTAGATTGATAGAAATGGGTTAATACTTAAGACAGAGCTAGCCATTAAGAAATGCTAGTAACAGGCCAACAGTTTTATAATTAGTACATTGTCTCTGCGTGTTATTTGGGGCTGACAAGGCTCTGGGACCAGGCTGGCAGAAAACTACTGGTAACACAATGGCACCCACAACGTGGGTATTAAGAATTTCCACTTAAAACTTGACAAACGGTTAAAAAGGGATTTTAGAACTAAAAGAGCAGAGACAAGCAAGGCTCCTCAGTAGCAGCATTTTTCTTGGTTGGGCTCTGTTTTGCTAGAGACAAGCAGAGACTCGTACGGTACCTTTAAGGGAGTCTTCCTGAATCTGCATAAGCAGCAAAAAAACTCAGGGCCCTTTTGAGAGGCCCTGCTACCAACTGAATGGTGTGTATAACAGGACAGCTGGCAGTGGCAGTGACCACATCTCCAAGCCGGCAGCATAGACCAAGGCGGTGAGCACAGCTCTCAGTGCTGGCGGTAAAGGAACCCCCCCCCCCCAAACTGGAAAGCAATGTTATTGTTTAGCAGATAAAAGACTCATGGCCAGAAAAAGATAAAGAGTTACCCATAAAGACAGAAGAAGATAAAGAAAAACCTCTAAAGGTTTACAGTGTATTTTAAAGTATACATAGGCTTGGGACAGAGAAAGAAACAGGATACAATGGTTTAAAAAAAAAAAATAGTAAGAGAACAGCTGGGTGGGGTGGCACCGCCTTACATTCCAGCTCTCCGGAGGCAGAGGCCGTCAGACAGACCTCTGTGATTTCAAAGTGAACCTGGTATGCAGAGTGAATTCCAGAGCAGCCAAAGTTACACAGAGAAACCCTGTCTCAAAAAAAAAAAAAAAAAAAAAACAAGTAAAAGAAATAGAGTAACAAAAAAGCCACATAAAACTAGAAAATACTGGATACTGTACACTATTGTGTTGTCTTTGAATTGCTCAATTGCTAAGGAAGGAACAACTGCTAAAAATACACTTGATTATCAATGCTGCTGAATTAATCCAACACATATATTAAAAATGCTTTGACTTCAAATTTTAAGTCTAAGGACAGGTTACTGGGGAAAAGAATTTCTATTTTTGTTTCCACAGAAAATGAAAAGCTGTGGATTCCTTCCAGACTAACATGGTTTGATCAAGCCAGACTCCCTGAAGCAGTGGCCCAGGTGATCCAACATTCAAAACAGCTGGGACAAGACAGCCTTGCAGACCACTACAGCCAGGATTTCTGTGTCTCCTTTGGAGCCTCAAGACAGCAGGAAGCAGTTTGGAAAGAACAATGCCCAAATTCCCAAATATTGTTTACAAATGTTTGTTTTCATTTAAATGTGGTTGGTTTTAAATGGCTAATATCACAACCAATATCTTTTTAAAGGTAAAAATAGGATTATGGCATAGAAATGAATACTTTGTTTTGGAATGGATTTTCATTTATTGATGCAAATTTAAGGTCAATTTTGTGATATGTATATTTCTTCTCTTGTTTAGGTATTGTGTTTATATAGCTCATTTAAAAATGTAATGTATAATTTGGTACAGATTATAGATAGTAACCTACAATAGTCAAAACTTTAGTTAGGTTTTCTAGATATAGAAAGATATATTTGAGATGGATAAATATTCTTCAAACCTTTCAAAGTCTTACAAAATATGGCATTCAAAATGGGTTAGGGCTTTTCTTAACAGTGAGGCACAACTGTTCCTGGCAACACCCATTACATCTGAGAAAAAGATAGGCATCAAAGAAACTTGTTATGGAGTTTGCTTTATATATATATATATATATATATATATATATATATATATATATATACATCAAGAGTAGACATTTGGGCAAGAAACTGCTAAAGAGTAACTTCAAAACTTGCCTAACTGTTTGACTACTGCTGTATAAACTGGGCATGCAGGGCCCACAGGAAAGTGACTGCTGAACTCACAAAACAAGATGGACAGTCCTGAAGGGTTCCTGCTTCATGGAAGAAATTTCTGCCAGAAATTCTACAGGACACAGAGAAAAATGACTGACAAATTGCCAACACAGCTGGGACAGTTTGAAATTTCCTGCTTTGCTGATGAGTCTGACAGACACACTGTGGCCTATAGGCTGATGATGGAACATTACAGAAGAACTTCGGGTGACTGAC